CAAATGCCCTTCCAGGGTGCACACACAGTGGTAGAAGCCAGCCCCACCTCCCCGCATCCCCTGGACAAGCCACAGCTCCGTCCCGCGCCTGCCCTGCCCGGCTGTGCAGCCCCAGCCCCACTCCCTCCCTCACCACGGGGGTCTTGATCTGTCCCTCCACGCCCTTTCCCTCCCACCACAACAGACTTACCAGCTGCACACGGCTCCCCATGCTATATTGGAAATCGAATTGGTATCGGCCGATATGCTTCCTTAAAAATCAGCTATCAGTATCAGCCCCCAAAATCTCTATCGGTGCACCTCTACTATTTAACACTTGCATACTATAAACTCAAGCACATTTGGTACAATCTTAAGCTTCCTGAATACCTCAGGATGCAGCTCCTTGCAAAAGTACATGACAGGTAGGAATAACTGTAGAACACAAAGTGAGGACACAAACGCTTGGAGTCCTTTCAAAAAGGGAAGCGGCTGGTATATTCCAACCATTGTGTGAGAAAGATTTCAAATGCAGCAAACTCGTTCCAGATTTAATCCTGGATGAAGAAGTGTTAAAAGATGTCGACAGACATAACCCTTAAACCTTTTAAACCACAACCATATATGCAACCATTCTTTAAACCACAATTATTCAGACATACACTCTAATTTAGAATGATATGTACCTCCTGAAATGTTTCAAAAAGTATACCTGGAAAATCAGGTATTATTTTGAAATGGCCCTTCTTGAACCAATGCACTAATATGTGCAGACACCAAGCTTTCTATAACTAGTGTCTGGTCCTCCAGGCAGTCCCTTCTGCACCACTCCTCATGCCCTCTCCCTGATACCGCACCAACCCCTGCATGGCACCTGGGTATTCTGATAACGCAGCCAGAACTCTACTACCCCAACTTATATTGACTGCACTTGATCCAGCCCTCAGCCATCCCCAGGCTGATGGGGGGGGAGGAAGCAGGTCAGGTGAGTAGAGGGGGTACCTCTGCTGCTTTTGGTGGAAATATCCCTCCCCATCCCCCCACCAAAAAACACTTGTTAGTTTCTGTGATAAAGAAAAGAAAGAAAAATGACCAAACGCCAAACGTAGGAGCAAGTCGTGCTCATGGCACGGGGAAGGCGATGGGCGTGGCCTGATAGCGGCGGTCCCGGCCCGTGCTGATTGGCAGGGGGCGTGCAGATGCAGCCCGTTTAAAAAGGCGAACGCGCCAAAAGAAGTGGGGGACCCGCGCAATATTGGAGAGGCCTGATCACCCTCACCGGAGGTCCTGCGTCCACGAAATCCCTTCCCCCGGACGCCCCCATCACGACTGGGTATACCATCCGAACGTGTTTAAGAGCTCTTGAGTTATCAGCAAGTTTAATCTTGAAACAGCTGTCAAAGAAGTTTTTTTCTGCCTAAACTGTGAGTAAAGCATTTACATATCTCACCGCCTCCTTGGTGTTTTTCTGTCGACGGAAGGAGAGACAGAAGAGGGAGGAATAAGGCCCTGAAACCCTTTTGTCCCCCGCCTGCTCGCATAATCTGGGTCCAACCACCCATTGTCAGGTTGAACAGTTTCATTCCACTGGTGTCAAAGAACCAAACTTCAGGGCATCCCAGCCTGATCTGGCCTGGGGGGTAGAGGCATGTGAGTAGGTGAATAGAGGGGGTGCCCATGCTTCTGCATTTCCAGCAGGCTGCCCCAGTCTCCAGGGCTTTTAAACAGCACTTTTCCCCAAACCACTGGTCAAATCTCATTTCATTCTTGGCAATGGACAGAGGCATTGGGCAGCTCTCCAAAGCACCCAGCACCCCAAGAAACCACCTGCCTCCCCCCCTCCCCGCCAATCAGCCTGGGATGCCCCAAAGCCTGGTCAGATGACAGCACTCCAGTGCCTAAAAGGCGATTGTTCCATGTAGGACCCTTGGTGGTGTATGTGATGACATCTTTAGACTTAGGCAGCTGAGAACCAGTTCCTAAGCAGTGACATTCTCGGAGAGGTTCATGTGCTGTTTGCAGCAACCAAAGTTGGAGTGAGTTTGCTGCACTTGAATTGTTCTCAGCTCCTTCACACACAGACATTAGAACTACCAGCTGGAGCCCTTTTTGAAAGGGCTCCAAGGATTTGGTGTCCACACCCCCACTGCCAACAACCATATTGCTTGCATTAGCCAGACACATGGAAAAAACAAGTTTTTCACTACAGCTTTTTCCCTTTGCCTCTTAGGAGTCATTTGTAAACTAGTGAGTGAACTAGCAGAGCAAAACCAAATAAGTTGTTTTGTGGGACCCTTTATCTACCATTATGGATAATAAAATAATATAAAGTTATCCCCAGAACCCCAGAGCACCCAGCACCCCAGGAAAGTACCTGGCCATCCCACCTCCACTAAGATCAGCCTGGGATTCTGCAAAGCCTGGTGAATTGCCATGAATGGAGTGACATTGATAAGCACACCTTGGGGCAAATGCTGCTGAAAAGCAGCAGAGACTTTGCACAGCTTCCCCACTGATAACTTTTAAAACACCACTTCCCAGCAAGCTGTCCCCTACTTGTAAGGGTAGGGTAGGCAGCAGATGCAAAAGCGGCTCTCAAACCATCTCCCAAAGCTACAGAAAAATGGTGGATCTTGGTTGCTCATTTGAGTGTGTTTTTGATTTTTAGCTGCTCTTGCAACTTCTAGGAAGAAGGAAATAACCTTGCATGACTGCCACGTTCCTCCCCCCTGAGAAACAAAGTGAACTTGGGCTCACAAAACCATGTACTCTATATAGGTATCTATCTTAGTTATTGTATGAAGGTGCATATCTACCCTGCCTTTTGACTGACTTCAGTCTAAGACAACTAACTACCTCTCTCCTCCCTGTCACCATTTCAAGGCAGATGCATCATTCAGCCTTTTGAAAACCCATGCCAATTGCTGCATCAAAGGTAGACTGAGTGAGATCAGTCTTTTTGGAGGGCTGAGAAAAACAACCTGGCTGACACATCTGGTGGGAAGTTGTAGCCTTTTGCAAAAGACAAGCCAATCTGTCAATCCCTTGATTACAATCATTAGTTCCTAAAGCACACTTTCCCCTCAAAAAATATTTGCTCTACATTAGAGACACACATTTCTAAACCTGAAAATAATAGTTGAATGCAATAAAGGAAACCTTGCACAACAGAGCAAAAAGTGTTACCCAAACCTCTAACTTCTTGGTTTTTTTTAAGTGACAGCAAAGCAAGAGGAATAATATGAATCTAACCTGGTAGCAAGAAAGGGTCACGTAAACTCAAAAAGTCAGCATCCTTAACCTCTGTCAAAGCATACATCTTCAAGAACTTACTTTCAAGTAAATTTCTTGTTTAAAGACTGACAAATTAAGGAGAAATGAGAGTCAGTCAGCCCTATTTGAAGGTTTTATCCCTAGAAATCAGGGCACTCTTTGAAAAGCTGCAAAGGGCTGCAGCCTCATCAGTATTTTTAGTCACTTTCTAGAAAACTGGAGTTAATAAAACGATTCATGCTTTAGAGGATTGGAGTATAGCTAACACAAAATGATTTCTATTTATAGTACATCATGGGACTTCTATGACAATGTTCAGCCCAAAGACGAGATACAGACGTCAGAATGACTTAAAACGATGGTGGCAGAATGTTTCACCTTACAGGAGATTACTAAATTATGTTCCTGTATAATGGATCCCAGCTTATTCTCCTAACAGAGAAATACTCCATCATTACTTGCAGGATACCGTTTTCTAGGTGGAAAATGACTTGATTAGAATCTTTTTAATTGCTTCAATCAGTGGTGCAGGAAGTACCTGACAACTAAGTTAGATGGTTCAGTTACAGAATAATCAGCCAAAAGTTTCCTAATTGGCTACGTAGCTCTTAACCAAATTTTCAAATGCTACTCAGCCATTTTCAGAGGGACAGAACACTCATCTAAATGGACTGTTGCTGTATGTTCTCACACTCAAACCACAAATCCCAAGCCACTAGTGGCTTTTCAATTTTCTTTTGTACCTTTGTGCAGAAAAGGTCAGGTTTTTACTATATGTGGTGGAGTACATCTTTTCTCCAGTTGTGAATTACGTGATTAACACCTACACTATCTAGTTCTACTGGTATCAACCAATGTAGTCGAGCTATTTCTTTTAAGCTAGAGTATGTCTGCCACAATTTGCTTAAGACACGTTTGTTGTTGCCAGCCTTTTGTTAACACTGACGAACTGTGTAGCTCCAGAGCCAGTCAGGACCAGGTGTCACTGCATTAGATATTTAGGGCCTATCTACACTGCAAACTTAAGAGTATTCGACAGCAAGCAAGTTGTGATGTTCCATGTGTAGCCCCTCCCCAGCCAGCACCAGCTTGGTTGGGTTGGGACAGCACTGCGGGCAGGCTGGTCAACAATGACCCTCACTGATCCGAGTTCAGGTCTACTACAGCTAATGGACCCACGCAGCCAACAGGACCAACACATGAAGTCCGCTTCTCGACAGATTTTTTGTTTCCCCTCCTTTAGGCTTTCAAGATCTGCTATACACACGCACACTTGTGTACCCATATAGATATTATGCATATACGCACACTACACATGCACAACACTACTCACGTACACCCACACTATACACACTATAACCAATGCAGGTGTGCCCACACCACATATGCACACCCCCACTATACCCTACATACATATTTATGTACGCATATACACAAACGCACCCACTACACACCCCCACTATATCCTACACACACACACACACACGTGTGTGTGTATATATATATATATATATATATATATGCACGTATATACATGCACATATGTGCACCCCAAGCGCCGGGAGGAGGCAGGGGCTCGTTCCCCCGCCGCCCACCTCATCAGATAGTCCCTGAAGTCCTTGCTCCGCACATAGTCCGCCGCCTTGCGCACCAGCGCCCCGGCCATAGTGGAGGTGCTGGGGGGGGGGGTCGTCTCGCGG